TATCTCACCCATACCATCATAATAAATAACCAATAATATAAAAAAATTCTATTGAATTAAAACAAAATGATTGTAAAAACTATAGAAATCGAGAGGACGATAAAAGATCAACTCCAACTTTTGACTAAATTCACTTGAGAAAAGCTAAGAATTAGTGATGTAATTTCAACAAAACTTCTCTGCTATGAGAAATAGGTTTGATCATTGATTTTGAAGTATGACCAAAATTGATTAATTTGTTAATTAAGATAATCATCCAAAAATAACAGTTAATGTTTTACTTTTTGTATTGACTGATGGAATTTTTCCAATTTTTCTTACTTTCGTTTTTTGTCTAACAAATATGTTTGGCAATGTCACTTATAAATAATTGTGATGTTAATAAATATGACTGATTTCAGGTGAGGAAGAGCATGAGGCTATAATGCATTCAGAAAAAATATCCGACAAAGAAATAAAGGGGAAAGGGAAAGAAAAAATGAGAAAGAAAATGGAAAGAAAAAAAGGAAGAATTTGAAAGAGAAGGGAAAAACAAAGTCAAAAAGAGAAAAAAATCGAGAATGAAAAAATGAAGGTGAAAGAGAAAATATAAGGAGACTATGTATCTGAAAAGAGAAAAAAAGAAAGAAAACAAAATGAAAGAAAAATGTGAAAAAATGTATAAAGAAAATGTATAACTGAAATAGAAAGAGAGAAAGAAAAATAGAAGATAAAACAAAAAGTAAAAGGAAATTGTAGAGCTGAAAAAGAAAGAAACGAAAATTGCAGAAAGAAAAAAATATTGGAGGGGATAATGTTCTCAGACAACCTGATTACCTCCCTTGTTTTATAATTTGTCTTAATAAGTCACACCATCTTAGCCAAAACGGCAAGACTCTTCAGTTATATTCAATAAAGGCACATTAAGCTGAACTATACTCTGAGTTTTCATTACATTTTATTGAATGTAATTATGGACAAAAACCTTAAACCAGTATGTCTCATCAGGGACTCTGCAATCCCATCTTCTTCTGACATCTGGCAATATAGGAAACAATTATTTGAAGGAATCTTGTTTGCTGTGGAAAACACTTCATTCACTCCTATTACTGATATGGATAGACTAATGCACCATGATTCCATATCAGTATACAACAATATTTCTCACTGCAAAACTTACCAGAGTGCCATGGATATTTTGGAGGGAATTTTGGAAAATGATGAAAAATAATCTTTGCCTGGCATGTCTTAGCAACTACCTGCCAATCCCCTGAAGAGGGGTTAGAACAGTATCTTCAGAGCTTAAAATTCTTAAGTTGAGAATGCGACTTTCAAGCAATGACAGCAGATCAGGCAAAGGATGAATTTATCAGACTTCTTTATAAATGGATTAAAATCCAACCATACCTGTCAAAGATAGCTGGAAAATAAACAACTAGATTTAGCTACTGCACACGAGCAGGCACTTACCTTGGAGATGACAGGAAAGCAATCTTATTTATACCTACAAACAAGTGTTGCAGAAGCTTCACTTTGTGCTCACACCACTACTAGTCCACCAGTTCAAATGACCCAAGCAAAGTAAAAAGGACAGTCCTCCATGACAGACTTTCTCATTTCTGCCCCAACCTCTGTGCCATTTCAAAATCTTCTCTCTCCAGAAGACACTGCATACACTGCTAGTGCTGCAGCCAGACAAACTACACCCCAGGTTGTGTTGCCAAACCAGGGAAACAAGTACTAGAATAAAGGAAATTCTTCTAAGGTTTGTCAATCAAGATATATTTCACCTGTTCAAATGCTCCTATTGTGACTACTATCGTATCAACGGCAAACCCTAAATGTCATTCAAAGGTTATATTAATGGTAAAAATAAACAGGGTAGAAATGAATGTCCTAGTCAATACAGGAAGCTAAGTTTTATTAGCACTCATAATTAAAAAAGAAACAGATTTAAAATTGTACATTGTAATAGTCAGGTGCCTATGGCAAATGTTTCACTATCATTGCAGGTTAGAAGTTATATTTTGGCCAGACTAGAGTAGAATTAAACTAACTACACTAACACCAAATTTTTTGTGATGCCAAATCTGTGCTATGGTGTCATACTGGCACATGATTTCCTCAAACAGGATTCTAATATTAATCTCACTTTTGGGAGACTTAAAGTGGCATTAAAAATCTGTGGCTCAGCCACCATAAATGTACAAATACCCTTCTCTTAAACAAAAACTGTAAACCAGTGGCCACCAAATTTTGAAAATATTCTCTTGAAGACAAAACGTTTATTCAAGCAGAAATAACAAGAATGTTAAGAGAAGGAATAATCAAATAAAGCAGATCACCATGGAGGGCACAAATATTAATAACATCCTCTGATAATAATAAAAAAAAGGATGGTCATGGACTACTCCCAAACTATAAATATGTACACCTTCCTGGATGTGTACCCTATACTCCATATCAACGAGATGATAAACAAGATCACCAAATACAGAATATTTAGTACATTAGATTTTAGGAGTGCCTACCACCAAGTAACTATAGACCCTAAAGATAAGACATATGGCTTTTGAAGCCTGTGGACAACTATATCAATTCCAACAGATTCCATCTGGGGTCATTAACATGGTTTCCATTTTTCAGAGGGTCCCCAATAAAATAATTCTTGAAGAAAAAATACAACTCATCTTTGCCTACATAGATAATGTAACAGTGTGCAGCTATGACTGGGCAAACTACAATCACAACTTAAAATGGTTTTTGGTGGCTGTTAAGAAATATATTCTTACACTCAACTAGGACAAGAGTTCTTATGGATCAACAACCATCAGACTAATTGGACATATTTTAAAGGAATCATGAAGCCAGACGCTGAAATGGATAAAACCACTGCTAAACCTACCTATTTCAAACACTACAGCCACCTTGTGACAATCCATGGGTATGTTTGCTCATTATTCTCAATGAATACTCTTCTTTTCTGAAAAAAATACACCCACTTATGAAAATTACTAAATTTCCTTTACCTTCTTCTGTCGTTAAAGCCTTTAAGAGGTTAAAAAATTGCCAACTCAGCCATCACTTTGGTGAATTTTGACATTCCCCTAGAAGTAGAGACTGGCACTTTTGACCACACCATAGCTGCTGCGTTAAGGTAATCCGGGCTCCCTGTAGCATTCTTCTCCAGAACATTGTCAAAATCTGACTACAGACATTCAGCTGTCAAAAAGGAGGCTTATGCCATAGTTGATGTGCTAAAAAAAATGGCAATATTTCTTAATTGGTCACTGCTTTAAATTAAACACTGATCAAAAATCAGTCTCTTTTATAACTTAATCCCAAGACATTAAGCAAAATAAAAAATGAAAAGATAGGGAGATGGAAGATAGAGCTTTCCTGTTTTTTTGTTTGACGTTTTCTATTGGTCAGGAAAAGAAAATGCAATGGCAAATGCACTGTCAAGCATGTGTGGATCAATAAACAATGCCAAAGATACACTATTTACATTATTCGGACTATTGTCCTCATTTTTGTTGCCATATTTATCACAAAGTTTCAGCCATAGTATGCTCCGGCCTTCTTCAGGTGGTTGGAATCTCAAACTGTACCCTTTATTTCACTTGCTGGGGTAGCCTGTTCTAGTTCCACATGCCATGTCTAATAGATGTCAGTTATCTGTTATCTCCTCTTAATTCTGTGAGTCTCAAGTTCTCACTACCTTAACCATTAATAGGTATGAACTCCCACACAACTCTTTAGGTCCTTTATCCACTGTGCCATGTGTCCTTGGCGAAATAAAGGTTAGATCACATTCCAGCCCAAAAGGCCGGAGGTATAACAGCTGAAATGTTAACAAATATGGCAAACAAAGATAGTGGATAATATCCGAATAATGAGAATAATAATTATCTCAGAAATATAGGCAGATACTGAAAGGTCGAATGTAATAAATAGATAACAAAGATGAGGACAATAGTACGAATAATGTAAATGGTGTACATAAACAGTTCATCTCAGAAATATAGACAGATACTGAAAGGCCGAAACTTTGTAATAAATATGGCAACAAAGATGAGGACAATAAAAGGGAAAAAGGCCAGAGGAAAGAAAGGAAGTAAGAAAGAAATAATAAGTAATAAGTATAAAAACGAAAGAAAGAGGACAGTGATAGATGACAGAGAAATAAAGAAATAAAGAAATAAAGAAAGAAAGAAAGAAAGAAAGAAAGAATATAAAATAGAAATGAAGAGAACAGGGATATATAGCAAAAGAAAGGGAAAATGCCAGAGGAAGGAAATAAATAAATAAATAAATAAATAATAAGTGAAAAGTATAAAAACGAAAGAAAGAGGAACAAAGATGAGGAAAAGAAAGAAACAGAATAAAAGAAAGAAATAATAAGTGAAAAGTATAAAAACGAAAGAAAGAGAAATATAGAGAGAAAGGGAAAAGAAAGAAAAAAAGAGGAAAAAGAAAGAAAGAAATAATAAGTGAAAAAATATAAAAACGAAAGAAAGAGGACATAGAAAGAGAAAGGGGGAAAAAAAGAAAAAGAAAGAAACAAAGGCGAAAGAAAGAAAGAAATAATAAAAAAGTATAAAAACGAAAGAAAGAGGACATAGAGAGAAAGAAAAAGAAAGAAAGAAACAGAGGCGAAAGAAAGAAAGAAATAATAAGTGAAAAGTATAAAACGAAAGAAAGAGGACAAAGAAAGAGAAAAAGGGAAAAAGAAAGAAAGAAACAGAGGCGAAAAGAAAGAAAATAATAAGTGAAAAGTATAAAACGAAAAGAAAGAGGACATAGAAAGAGAAAAAAGAAAAAAAAGAAAGAAACAGAGGCGAAAGAAAGAAAGAAATAATAAGTGAAAAGTATAAAACGAAAGAAAGAGGACATAGAAAGAGAAAAAGGGAAAAGAAAGAAAGAAACAGAGGCGAAAAGAAAGAAAGAAATAATAAGTGAAAAGTATAAAAAACGAAAGAAAGAGGACATAGAAAGAGAGAAAGGGAAAAAGAAAGAAAGAAACAGAGGCGAAAGAAAGAAAGAAATAATAAGTGAAAAGTATAAAAACGAAAGAAAGAGGACATAGAAAGAGAGAAAGAGAAAAAGAAAGAAAGAAACAGAGGCGAAAGAAAGAAAGAAATAATAAGTGAAAAGTATAAAAACGAAAGAAAGAGGACATAGAAAGAGAGAAAGGGAAAAAGAAAGAAAGAAACAGAGGCGAAAGAAAGAAAGAAATAATAAGTGAAAAGGGAAAAACGTAAAAAAACATAGAAAGAGAGAAAGGGACAAAGAAAGAAAGAAACAGGAAAGAAAAGAAAGAAAAATAAAAAACGAAAGAGAGGACATAGAAAGAAAAAAGAAAGAAATAGGCAAGTATAAAACAAAGAAAAAGGAAAAGAAAGAAAAGAAAAGGAAAAAAAGAAAAAAGGGAAGAAAGAAAAAGTGAAAAGTAAAAAAAACGAAAGAAAGAGGACAAAAAGAAAGAGAGAAAGGGAAAAGAAAGAAAGAAACAGAGGCGAAAGAAAAGAAAGAAATAATAAGTGAAAAGTATAAAAACGAAAGAAAGAGGACATAGAAAGAGAGAAAGGGAAAAAGAAAGAAAGAAACAGAGGCGAAAGAAAGAAAGAAATAATAAGTGAAAAGTATAAAAACGAAAGAAAGAGGACATAGAAAGAGAGAAAGGGAAAAAGAAAGAAAGAAACAGAGGCGAAAGAAAGAAAGAAATAATAAGTGAAAAGTATAAAAACGAAAGAAAGAGGACATAGAAAGAGAGAAAGAGAAAAAGAAAGAAAGAAACAGAGGCGAAAGAAAGAAAGAAATAATAAGTGAAAAGTATAAAAACGAAAGAAAGAGGACAAAGAAAGAAAGAAAGGGAAAAGAAAGAAAGAAACAGAGGCGAAAGAAAGAAAGAGAAATAATAAGTGAAAAGTAAAAAAAGAAAGAAAGAGGACATAGAAAGAGAGAAAGGGAAAAAGAAAAGAAAGAAACAGAGGCGAAAAAGAAAGAAAGAAATAATAAAGTGAAAAGTATAAAAAAAGAAAAACGAAAGAAAGACATAGAAAGAGAGAAAGGGAAAGGAAAAAGAAAGAAAACAGAGGCGAAAGAAAGAAAGAAAGAAATAATGAAAAGTATAAAAACGAAAGAAAGAGGACATAGAAAGAGAGAAAGGGAAAAAGAAAGAAAGAAACAGAGGCGAAAGAAAGAAAGAAATAATAAGTGAAAAGTATAAAAACGAAAAAGAGGAATAGGAGAGAGAAAGAAAGAAAGAGAAAAAAGAAAGAAAGAAAAAAAAACGAAAGAAAGAGGACATAGAAAGAAAGAAAGGGAAAAAAAAGAAAGAAACAAAAGCGAAAAAAAGAAAAAATAAGAGAAAAGTATAAAACGAAAGAAAGGAAAAAGAGAGAAAGAAAAAAGAAAGGAAACAGAGGAAAGAAAGAAAGAAATAAATTGAAAAGTATAAAAACGAAAGAAAGAGGACATAGAAAGAGAGAAAGGGAAAAGAAAGAAAGAAACAGAGGCGAAAGAAAAAGAAATAATAAGTGAAAAGTATAAAACGAAAGAAAGAGGACATAGAAAGAGAGAAAGGGAAAAAGAAAGAAAGAAACAGAGGCGAAAGAAAGAAAGAAATAATAAGTGAAAAGTATAAAAACGAAAGAAAGAGGACATAGAAAGAAAAAAGAAAGAAAGAAAACAGAGGCGAAAAGAGAAAAAGAAATAATAAGTGAAAAGTATAAAAAACGAAGAAAGGGACATAGAAAGAGAGAAAGGGAAAAAGAGAAAAAGAAAAAAAATAAGAAAAGTAAAAAAACGAAAGAAAGAGGACATAGAAGAGAGAAAGGAAAAAGAAAGAAAGAAACAATAAAAGAAAGAAATAAGGAAAAGTATAAAAACGAAAGAAAGAGGACAGAGATAGATAGCAGAGAAATAAATAAAGAAAGAAACAGAGGCGAAAAAAAAGAAAGAAGGAAGAAAGAAAGAAATGAAGAGAACAGGGATAGCAAAACAAAAGAAAAAAAAGAAAAAATGCCAGCGGAAATAAATAAAGAAATAATAAGTGAAAAGTATAAAAACGAAAGGAAGAGAACATAGAAAGAAAGAAAGAAAGAAAGAAAGAAAGAAACAGAGGCGAAAGAAAGAAAGAAATAATAAGTGAAAAGTATAAAAACAAAAGTAAGAGGACAGAGAAAGAGAGAAAGAGAAAAAGAAAGAAAGAAACAGAGGCGAAAGAAAGAAAGAAATAATAAGTGAAAAGTATAAAAACGAAAGGAAGAGGACATAGAAAAAGAGAAAGAAAAAAGGAAGAATGAATGAATAATCCTGTAATAACTGAACAAATAAAGTAATAAGAGTGTTGATAAAATAAGGAATAGATTTAATAATAAGTGAAAGAATGCAACAAAAAATTGGGAAAATATGGAAATAAAAATGAAAGAATAAAGTGTAAGAAGGAATACCAGAGGGTAGAACAAAAAGAAAATCTAAAAAGGAAGGATAATTAAAAAAATACCTCCCAATCATTCACATAACATTAGAATTGTTTCTGAACAAATATAATAACTAGATAGGTTGATTTGCTCATTCATATTATTTTTCTTTTTTCTATTCGTTTGTTATTTATTAATTTTTGGCCAGATACTAACTTATTTTGGCAGTCGGAACAAAAACTGTAAACTAAAAATACAAAAGACAATGTAGTGGCCATTTTTACTTTTTGCGTTTTGTTTTTCTTGAACTGTTTGCATTATGAGAATTAGTTTTGGGAATGAAAGGTGTACACCAAGGGAACAATTGAAAGACAACCACAAACAAAATAAAGGAAGGAAAAAAACATTACTGAATATCCATTTGAAGTGACTGTCTGTCAGTCTATCAGTCAAAATGTCTGTAAAACAATTTCTGCATAGCAGATATTGGTTTCTCGACTTTTCACTTCTACAAGAGATTACATGCATTTCCATACCTCACCTTTTTCTGTCATCTACACTTTCTTTCTTTTTGCCTTTTCCCCTCTCTTTCTTTCAGCTTTTTTCACTTTCTTTCTTTTTGTCTTTTCTGCTCTCTTTCTTTCAGCCTTTTTCACTTTCTGTCTTTCTTTCTTTTTGCCCTTTTTCCCTTTCTTTCTGTCAGCCTTTTTCTCTTTCTTTCTTTCTTTCTTTCTTTCTTTCTTTTTGTCTTTTTTCCTTTCTTTCTTTTTACTTTCTACTTTTTTCTGTTGGCCTTTTTTACTTACTTTCTTTCTTTCAGCCTTTTTCTTTTTCTTTTGGTTTTTTCCCCTCTCTTTCTTTCTTTTGGCCCTTTTCACTTTTTTTATTTTATATCTTTCTTTCTTTTGCTTTTTTCTCTTTTGTTCATTCGTTCTTTGTTTGTTTGTTTATTTCTTTCTTTCTTTCTATTAATCTCATTTATCTCTTTTTCTTCTTTCTCTCTTTTTTATTTTTCTTTTCCTAATTTTGTTCCCTTCTTTCATTGTTTGTTTCATTATCACTTTTCTCTCCTTTCTCCTTTCTTTCTTTTGCTTTTTCCTTTCTTTCTTTTTACTTTTCTTGACTTCATTTATCATTATCCCTTTATACTATTATGGTCTTTGTTTGTTTCTTCTTTCTTTCTTTCATTCTCTTCATTTCCTTTTATTTCTTTTCTTGCTTTCTCTCTTTTTCATTTCTCGACTTTCATTTTATGTCTTCTTTTCTTTTCATCCTTTTTTCTTTTTCTTTATCTTCTTTTTCTATTCTGTCCCTAGTATTTTTCTTTCCATCTTTCTCTTCATCATTTTTTCTTTCTTTTTTCTTTCTCTCTTTTCTTTCCTTATTTCATTCTTTGTTTACTTATCTTTTTCTTTCTTCCTTTTTATTCCTTTCTTTTTTGTTGCCCTCAAACTTTCTTTTCTTTCTACATTTAAGATTATTCTTTTTCAGCTTTTTCTTTCTTCCTGAGTGGATTTATTTTTCTGTTTTACATTTTCCTGTTTTCTTTATAATTTTCATTCGTTATAAATTTCATTCTTTTCTTCTTGCTTTTCTAGTTTTCTTCTTTTTTTTATTTTCCATTCTTTCTTTCTTTTTCTTTTCCTTATTTCCTTCTTTTGGTCTTTCTTTCTAGATTATTATTATTATTATTTTTCCTTTTTTTTTTCTATTTTTGCTTCTTTGAAACGTATTCTTTTCCGTGCCTTTTCTCATTTACTTATGCTTTTTTTTCTTATATTGCATCATCACATTTTTTTTCTTATCAGTTTCTGCATGTGCTTCTCCCCCCCCACCAATCTTTCCCAATCATCTTACCTCTTCTTAAACCTGACCCTACCCTAGCCTAAAACCTCCTACCTATTACCTTAAGGTCAAAATCACTCTTAATTCCTTATGTCCATTGCACCTGATTATAAAAGAAATAAGACCTTATATCAACTCCTTCAAGAAAGAATGAGTGAAGGTTAAAAAGAGACTTTAGCAAAATAATTAGGAAACAAATGCCAAAAAATATCAACCCAAAATAGAATGGGAAAAAAAGTAAGAGAAAAATATATACACATGGATAAAAACACACACACACACACACACACACACACACACACACACACACACACACACACACATATAATTCATACAAATATAAAGTTTGTCACTTAGCTGATTGATGTTACCTTCAGCATCCTGAGTTTAGAGTTTCATAGACTAACCTTCCAGCAATTACTCCATCCACTCCTAAGGAGATATGCCAACTCTAGAATTTCATATTAGACAGTGTCTCCTGCAATCACTATATAAATATATATATATATATATAAAATATAAAAGTGAACATAATTAGGGTAACACTTAGGCTGACAGTTGTTTTACTATAAGAATACCGAAGAATGCACCACTAACCTTATATATATAAATAGCCAGAAAAATAACAGCATATGTGGCCTGACGCATTGCATATAGTCTGAAAACTGAGTCGCCTTAGTGTTGACTTCATGTTCACTTTTATATTTACACACGCTCTATCTCTGATATTGAGCACTTTATTCCATAAATATAGCACACCTTAGACTATATTTTTTATATATATATATATATATATATATATATATATATATATATATAGATATATATTGTGACTGTTGACTCACAAAGTGAGTATGACCATCACTGACACATCCAGCCTTTCAGTTACCCACTTCCCACCCACAATACTGCGTTCATTGGTTGTGTGAATGACAGTGGCTCATAAAGTCTACCATCAGTCTGCATTTCTTGTCACATGCGTGGCATATCAAATCATCTCCAGGTGGTGGAAGTTGACTTTGATCATGGTCATTTCCAATGTGCATTTTCATATGCCTTGTCAGGCTCAACCTGGACTTGCACACTCTAGAGCAGGTCAGGCATTCAAAGCATGCCAATATGAAATCGTTATATACAATAGACTGTTGGTGTTGGCGTAACTTCTGGTGACTGAGCAGACCCAACCGGGACAGACATATCCAACTGCATTGGGCTCTTGGCAATTCAGGGATCCTTTTCGAACCCCTCTCTTCAGTTCTGCATATTTTTGTGTTACCTCATGGAAGATCTTGATGCCATCAGCAATACCAGATCTCCAAGAAACCCAGTCTTCAACGAGAATCTCCCAGTTATCCAGACGAATATTGCACTTGTACAGTGACTCTTTAACCCATAACCTGCCATGAGCCCCCTTTGAGGATCTGTTAAAATTTAAAGTATTTTTTCTTTTTTTTATTTTCCGTGTTTTGTTCTTTGATTTTAACTACAAAGATTGCTTCTAACTCAAAACAAAAAACAAGCAATAAAACCAAAATATATTATCAATACTATCATGAAAATTATCCCCCACCCATGAAAATGGCCAAAGTTCTTAGGGAAAATAAACACTATGGAGAATTTCACCACACACTCACTCCTAATAAAAATGAAAGGAAAATAGAATAAAATTGTTTTTAGTGGATACTCATATTTGAGTAGATGTTTAGTGCACCTTGAGGTGGTGTAATGGTGAGCAAACTTGTCTTGCTAGAACAATTATGACTGAGTAATGAGTTTGATCCTCACTTGGTGCCTCATACTTTTGGCCTTGTGCCACATCTGAGCTACACTTGGAAAATCACTATTTGAGTAGATGTTTCATTTATTTATTAAACAGTATCTTTATTTATTTTCAGCTACCAGCCTGAAATCTTGTGAAATCTCATTAAAGAAATATGTGCTCTTTAATATGATTTTTCAAATATTCAGGCTAGTAAATGAAAATAAATAAATATACTGTTTAACCCATTACCTGCCATGAGCCCCATTTGGGGATTTGTTAAAATTAAACTCACTACGTTATTCCTTGTATTTACATTGAATTGCTTGCATACATTGCATTTGCAGAGGTATCTTTTACAACACTTAGACTTTAAAGTTTTTATTATTAGTTGTAAGAAGACATTGTCGTAATTTTACATTTCGCGAGTAGAAAAATAATGACTATATTGAAAAGTATTTTTATATTATTTCTAATCAATATTATTTTTTTATCTTTTATACACATATACAGGGTGTTCATAAAGTTCGTGGGCACTTTAAAAAATTTATAACTTTATTTGTATTTGCGATAGAAATAATCAGTAAAAAATGTTATAAAGTTTAATGTACCTAGTTTTAAGTATAGCTAAAATAACTAATGTGATTTCAGGCATTACTGTAAATCAGTTGGCAAATATTTTCCATAAACTGCAAAATTGTATTACTTTTTGTATTGCTAATGATGGAGGACATGTGGAAACTTAAATAAAATTTCAATAAAACCTTAAAAAATATAGATTTACTTCTTTCTAATCATTTTTACAAATTATTTCTATTGCAATGTTCACCTTTGTATATATATATATATATATATATATATAGTTTATGAAAAACTAGGTAATCTGTATGGGTAAACCTAAGGAGGATAAAATCCAGAGAGCTCAATGTAAATCCAGAACAAATAATTTAAATAAAAACAGACCACTTTAAGATTCCATGTAATAAATTATTTCACCACAGTCCTTTTAAAAGACTGTAGATTATCAGACTTTACTTCCAAAGGTTGAAACAAAAAAAAACAAAAAAAAAAGTTTTGATTTTTTTTTTTTTTGTTTCCATCTTTGGGAGTAAAGTCTGATGATCCGCAGTTTTTTAAAAGGGCTGAGGTGAAATAATTTATTACATGGAACTTTAAAGTGGTCTGTTCTTATTTAAAAATATATATATATATATATATATATATATGCATGTCCATCCCATACCATAACAATCTAATCAATATTCATTTTTTAAAAATTCTTGAATAATGCTTACTCACTTTACTTTTTGCTATACTTTAAATTATGACACTTTGTGTCCTCCATATGTTTTGACTGACCTTTCAACCACTTGATGAACATTTCATGAACGTTTTGAAATTTAAAAGCCTTGATAAAACAATGACATCCTTGCCTTTGTATATAAACATGTGCAGCAAAATAAATCCTATATTACCTTGATAAAATCCCT